AGATACCAGTGCTTGCAGCAGGCTTTGCCCTTTGCATCTGGAGGAGTGTGGAGCCAGGACAGCAGGTCTGGTTTAAACAATTTTAAAGCTTCATTTTAATTTTCTTCTGCTAGCTTTTCATATTCCAACATCGTAATTCACACATAACCACATCTGTGATTAAAGTGAGTTACAGCTGCCTGGAAGGGGTAGTGGTATGCACTTCTCAGTGCTGATGTTTGTGTGCATCAGCAGACACATAGGGGAAAAAAATAAATAGAAAATAATGCCAGAAAATGACACGGGACTTGGGACATCACCTGATGCTGAGCCTGTCTGTTACGTTTTCTCTCCTATTGCTCTGAAGGGTAAACCAGAGGTTGGGAATTTTACTTTCGCCCTTTTAGGTTTTCCTTATGTAATAAAACCAATTTAACAAGTCCTGAGTTTTAGGGCAGGGTGAGCATTTACATTACAAAAGGCAAATAGGAACAGCCCTTTACGATGATGCAGCCAAAACTCTTTCAAGGTTCAAGTGCACTGGAAGATGGCTGTTTTCATTCTGCTGTCCTATTCCACCCATTTGTTACCCATTTCCATCTCCTTCCCCCTTAGAAACAGAAAACGGAGAGGGTGCAGCCTTCTGGAAAGAGCTGGTGGAGGCTGCTGCTTTGGGGAGCAGCTCTGAACACGATCTTGTACCAAGTTCAGCTGGTGCCCCTTCTGTTCAGCATCTTGAGATGTGCCTTCCTCTCTGTTGAGGGCTGTGCTCTTATTTAGTCTTTAATGATCTTTTAATATTTTTCTTAATCTTTTTCCCACAAGCACACCAGGTCAGAAAACATTTGTGTGTGTGTGTGTTACACAAAGTACGAGGTGTGTTACAGGTGCCATGAATGTCATTAACAAATTCAAGTGAGGAACCTTCTCCTAGTGTCACCACTGCATTTCCAAAAGGGTTTGGTATAATCAATAACTTAGAGCTTAATCATTTCCCCTCTTATAGCAGTTATCTTAAACCACAGTGCAAGTGAGCTGGGTTCTGTGTGGACAGAATTGCAGTAGGTCTCTGGCTTGTGCGGTGGGAAGAGATCAGTGTGTAATTCATATTAATGACTGGGTGCTGCTTGCCCAGCTCCCATGCCCTGCAGTGTCACAAACACACAAACCATTCCTGCTGGCTCGTTGGTGAGGCTGTTAGTCTCCAGTTCAGCCTGGACAGATACTGCACAGAAACAGAGGTACAGAAGTTGCTCTTTTTTTCATCCAATTCCCACACAGAATCAAGCTAATTGTTCCCATACGTGTGTACTGCCAAAAGTTTCTGAAGCATTGGATACAACTTAGTCCAACTGTTAAGCAATTGTGTAAGTTTTGTCTTGTGAATAGTCCCATTGAAGTGGGTGCTGTCCTGTACATCCTTCAAGCTGCCCATGCGTTAAAGTACCTTGCTGAATCCATGTTACCCTTCGCTATCTTGCAAAAGTAACAATTGCTTGTTTTTCTTTTTCTCAGAATCTCCAAACACTTTCTTAATCTATCTTCACAGCTGTAAACTAAGAGGATCTCTGCTCTTTGCTTGGGTTAGTCACCAGGGCTTGGTGGATTTGTTTGAAGCCAGCGAGGCCAGCACTGCCTTTTGTTCTCCGCAGCACTGGGCTGTGGTGCTGCGTGGGGAGGTGCTCGTATCGTGTCCCGGGCAAAGCTGCCAGGGTCTCCAGACAATGCAAACACCACGTCAGTGTTTTTGCTGCCTGTTTTCCAGTTCAGCTCCCAGCGTACACGCTGTGATCAGAATTTACTGCAATGCTAAGCCATGTATGTGCAGTTACTGAGTCCCAGGTGATGCTGCTTACACCTTGGGACACCTGAGTCCCAGGCTGGGGCTACTTGTGAGAAAACGCTAGTGGTTGGCCTTGCTTTTCTTGGGCAATTTCTTCTGAGCTCCATTCTTGCTGTAGGTCTCACCTTTACCTTTCTTGGTCCTCCAGCCCTTGGTCCTGACCCTAGGCTGAGCCCCATCCCGGGAGCTCAGCCACGGTCCCAGGTCAGGCAGTGCCAGGGCCAGGTTGCAGGCAGCCCTGCGGCTGCTTCGTCTGAGGCCATCCATCCCCTGAGCCCTACCTCACGGGAGAGGAGCAGAGGGACCTTGGTGAAGGTCTGGTGGAGATGGAGCCCACCATCCCAGCTGGACGACCTGTCCTTCTTCATCGCTGAAGTCAAAGACACCTTGTTTCCTCTGCAGTCTTTGCTTTTCTTCCTCTCACGGCCACCCACCCACACGCAGTCTCTCTCCACACTTGGGATTCCCGGGAGGTTTGCTTTCCCCTTTCTTTCCTCTCCCCGTTCTACTCTCACATTCCCTCCCCGCTAACTGCACAGGTACTCAGCTGAGTAATTCTTCTCCCGGGTACCTCGCCCTCCAAATTAGCTTAGTGACAGAAGGAAATAAAAGTGGGAGTTGTGTGAATGCGTTCATCACCTCCAGCCTCACGCACCGACTTCAGAAAGACTTCTTCCTACATCTGTATTCATGCTGCTACACACTAGGGAAACTGATAGAAGTGTAATATGTGTATTAGTGTGCATATTAGCATGAACTGCTCTCCCTTATCCCCGTGACTTTCTGATTTCCTCCTTAGGAAGGAAATACTGGGAATATGCTGTCCTTGTTACTTTCTGTTGCGCTGTGATGGTTAGTAAAGGCTTTTGTGCCAGGTTTACGCTCAGTGAATTATCCCTGAAATTTGTGGAGCTCCAGCAGAATTTAATTTGGCATTGTGGAGTTGATGTTGCTCCCAGTGATGTGTTCGGCTGGAAATCTCGGCTTTCCATTGCCTCACTTAGATTAAAAATAGGCCCACGCCTTTAGTATTGCTCAACGCGTGCCAGAGGCATTGTCAGTAGCGAGTGCCAGCAGCACAGTGACGGCGCTGCCACCGTGCATGACGAAGGGTGGCAGCAGCCTGTGCCAGGGGCATTTAGGAAATATACCCCTGAAGGCAGTTTCCGAGGTGGTGAGGAGGATTTTAGCAGCCACATTAGCATCTGTGGCGTGTTGAATACCTTTGATTTTCTTTTTAATATGGTGCAGGTGGAATAATTTGGGGGTGGCACGCAGCAGTCCTCGTGGTGTCGGGGCCAGAAGAAGTGTTTTGAATGAAAGCTTAATAGAAATTCACTGCGCTCCCATGCTGAGCACAGAATTGGTTGACCGCATAAATTTGAATGTCAAATAGCTAGAATGTTTTACCAAGTGGAAATGTGCTGTTTTATTTCCATGTTGTCAACACACAAAAAGAAGCATACTTACATGACAAAGAGTAAAACTGTGTAAAGTTATTTTCTAAAAAATATTTTAATAAAAGTTAGAAGCATGATGCCACCATTGTTTTCAATGTGAAAAGATGTCAGTTATTAATTATTTTGAGAGCTAAAACCCAGGTGGGCATTCATAAGAGGTATCTAAAAAGTGAGAATGATTAAAAAGCTTGCATAGCAGCCCGAGTCCAAGTATATTTGGTAGAGCACTGCTCAGCAGCATGCTGTAGGTAGGTGAGCAATCTATAAATGGTGTTTTATTGAGTGGTGTTCCTTCGGTTGATTTGATTTTTGTCCTGTAAGAAAATTGAGGCTCAAGCACTTCCAAACTTTGTTATATTTCTAAAGATCATCTTTATGTGCCAGCTTTTGCCTAGAAACTCACCCAAAGATGTCAGCCATTGAAACCATTTCATGTGGAAGCATTGCTAAGTAAATTCACTAAATGCCTATTCATCCCAGTAAGATGGAGAGTCACTGGAGCAGCAAATGTGAAAATCTGCACAGCTTACTATACAGAAAGCAGTTTTCTGGGGTAGCCAAATTGAGATGCAGAGCCTGACCCTGGCAGGTATTAAAGCTCAGATGAGTGAGCGTAGAAGGAGGGACTCAGGCTCCTGCAGCCTGGTCACACAGGCTGACTGATGGACAGACATTCCAGTTTGGTCCAGCTAAAATCGATGGTTAACTTGCTTTTTACTCATCAGTTCAATAGTGACATGCTACCTGTGACGACAGAAGAATTTGGGCTTTTGAGAAGTGGATAGAGGTTACCACTCTGATAACATTTCCCAGTTGTTGCAGCCTGACCTCAGAAGTTAAATGCATTTTGTACAGAAATCTTGTTTAACTTGATTTTCTGTGTCTTATGCTAATAAAATGTTTTCAAGGTACTGTCTGTTGACAGCTGGCTTATCTTATTTTTTTTGCCATCAAGTCCATTACAGACCATTGCTTACATGCTGTTGTATCTGTAACATTGTGTTTTGAATGTAACTCAGGAGATGAAGATCTTTTTAATATGATTTATTCTTTTTTTCCTAAATATGCTGACCTAGAGAAACAGAGAACAGTTTTGCTGCATTGTTGAAGAAGTAACAGACCACAAAAGCTGCCAAGCATAAATACTTTCTTGGACATGTTGGCTGAAATTCTGAAAATACGGTGTCAAGTTTCCAGTCATATTAATTGGAATTAACCTTCTAAATTCCTTTGTTCCTATTAATTTTATTGGGATTTTCACATCTAAATTCTCTTGCTTTATGCAGTTCAACCCTGGCCTCTTCTCTGTTATATGGACTAAAGCAACCAAAATGCCATTAGATACTTAACCAAATTCCTCAGAAAAGATCTAGCAAAGTATATAAAACAGGGCTGTCAGTCCAGTCATCTCAGCAGCTGGCTTTTCCTACTTTAAAAGTGCTGAACAGTATTACTTAGTACATACTCTGTTACAATGCTGAAAACATCTGCCAAGATTTTATATGAATTTCTTTAAGACATAATAAAGCCATACTTCTTTCCAAGCACATGTTTCTGGGTACAAGGAGACAGTGGAGTTTAGCAGCAGGATGGAAGTGTTTCAACAACTGCTTCCTTCTGCAGATGGTCTCCAAATGAGAATAAGAAGTGCATAAATTATTGTAAAGATAGTGCTTTTCACTATGTAATTTGTACATCTTTTGTTCTTTCTCTCCCAGGACAAATGACCAGCTAGTAGCGTTCCTGTCCAGATACCGTGATATGAACTTCTTGAAGTCACACGGCAGGGACAATGCAAGGTAAGCTGGCCCGTTCCTCTGCTATTTATTTTCTTTCCTCCTGCATCACTGGGAGTTTTTGCACAGCAACTGCTCTTCAGTGTCAGCTAAGTTAAGAAATCCCTGCTCCAGCAAAGAGAAGCAGACCTGCTTCTGAGAACAGTTGTTGGTCCGGAGTGGCTTCCTGACGGTCAGTTTGTAAAGATGCTTTTGTGGAGAGGGAGATGGGAAGCAGGCTGGGCTTGCTCCCTGCTCAGGGTCTGTCACAGACGGCAGTTTCAGGAGCTGTACTTGGGGAGGAGGTGAGCACATGAGATTTTTCTTTGTTCTCGTCTCCAGTGCTTCTGTGCTGAACAGTTTTTACATGTGAAAATGATAGCTTTCTGACTCATTTCTCAGAAATTGATAGTATTACAAGCTATGCCTAAACAAGCATCTAGAGCCATTTGGAAGCTCCAGAAACCCTATCATTTCATGGGGCTGGGAACACACAGACGAGTAATTAGACAAAAATAGCTGTTCCAGGTCTGCACAGCACCTTGCTGACCACTCTCACAGAGATGGTTTATCAGCCATAGTAAAATTTCCAAAAAAGGGGGTCTGCAGCAAAGGCTTGTGTAAGCAGAGCGTCTCTGTGAGCTGTGGGATGTACCCTTTCCCACAGCTCAATGGTAATGCCTATACCTCTGTACTTTCAGGGAGCAGCAGTGACCAAACGTCACATTTCTGAAGCTTTAAACTCTGCAGCTGGAAAACCTTTCTCATTTGATTGTGGTGCTCCTCTTTTCCTCTTTATTGATAGCTCTGTCCCATAACACGTATCCTGCATCAGTTTCAGTGACTCCACATGCTGAGTCCCAGTAGCTTTGCACCAAAAAATATGGTTTTATTCCACCTGGGTCACTAGGTCATCTCTTTATTCTGTAAAATGTCAAGCATGCTGTAAGGCTGGGTTCAGATAATGTACAGAGAGAATGTGCGACATCAAGTCAGCATGTTCAGCGCCGCGGCTAGGTAGAATAGTGTACGGGTCTCTCCTCTTGACGACTCTTGCTCTTGTCACTGGATTTATCAATTCTGTCATGTTCTGGTTTAAATGAAGTCCTCATGAGCATTCATCTTGTGCATGCAGAAATTCTGTAGCAGGTAGTGAAAATAGCACTGTGAGGAATAATATTTAAATCAGAGTCAACATTTTTCCCAGGAGAGTCCCTAGCCTGGGAAATGCAGAGTGTCGGAATGACTGGCAGGCTCAGCTCTGGCTGGCAGCAGTGATTGACAGCAGCGCTGCGTTAAAAAGGAAGGAGGAACGGCCAGGGACAAGCCGTCGGTCCCTTATGCCTTCCTGCCCCTCCGGTGCACACAATTCTTCTCCAATCCCCTGAGCTGGCTAAGGAAATAAGTAATGAATTATGACGTGCCTGCAGCAAGCTGGTTGGAACATGCCAACCTCAGCTAGGTTAGAACAATCTAGGTCAATTAAACACACTAATCTGGTATTAATTTAATGATAAAATGAGCTAATATGCCACTTGTCCTCTGCTCAGAGTAATAACCACCCATTTATTAGATCAGTGGTTCTCTTTTACTCCATAAACAGTTAAATACCTTTTAGCCTATTACGACACATCATCAAGTTTTATTTTTTCTCCCGGATTTCTAACAGAAGTTTTCTGTGCATCAGGGAGCATCACATGGGATGCCAGGGAAGTTTAGCCTCCTCTACCTGTACACTCTGTGAATCCCATAAGCGCTCCTGCTCCTGGCCCCTGGCTGAATGGATCCTTTCACATCGCCCCTTGGCAGCTCCCCAAGGTTTTTTGGGGGTGATATGCTGGGTTGGTACTCAGGGGTGATATGCTGGCTCCCCTCCTCCTGCATGCCCCAGTATCTGCACAGACAGTGCTTGAGCCAGCAGCTGCAGAGGCCTCTGAGTAATATTGCTGTTCAGTAAAAGTTAACTCCGTAGGTATCAAAAGCTGATCACAAAGTAGACCTTTGTGTAGCGGGTGGATTTCCAGCTCCACATCTACATCTTGAGAGGGAAATTGCATTTGATGTGAAGATGTGCAGCCTTGATCGTTCTGTTTTGGTGCTCCAGGAACTCAGGCTTGTGGAAACACACTGTCTGCCCTGCCCATTTCACAAACAATTGCCAAATGATTTCCATTTTATATCCAAGGTGTGAAAGCAGTGGTTGTGCCAATGAGGTTTATCCCTGTAGGTAGCAGTTAGTAAAACCCTTGAACTCAAATACCTGGTGTAAGACTGGACAGGTGGGCTGAGCCCAAGGGCTGTCCTGTCCCCCCATGGGCTGCTGCCTACAGCAGGTGGTGGTGCTTCCCTGCTGCGTTCCCCCAGCCTCCCGGGATCTCTGGTTGGGGAATTTCCGCTGCCAAGCTTGGTGACACTTTCTTATTTAAGAGTCAAGAATGTGGATTGTTACTTTGTTGTTGTTGATTTTTGGTTTTGTCTCAATTTGTCCAGTTACTTTTTAAGTTTTACCATTTCCTTTGCCTTGTCACGACCCTGTGGAAAACAAGTATCTGCTGGGGTGAATGGTATGAACAAGAGAAGAAGCAGCAGTCTGACAGTCTCAAGGTTTGACAACAAAAAACAAAGCCCGAAGAGACCACTTTAGGAAAGGATTTGAGACACAAGCCAATCTCCACTTATTGGGCAATGGGACAGAACTTTCTCCAGGGACATCCCATCTCTAAACAGACTTGAGCAGGGCTTTTTCTTTAAGAGGGCTGTCACGGAAGCCATGATAAGGGAGAGGACACTAGACTAGATGGACTGACACCCCATGTACAGTGATAATTCTACTGTTCTGAGGTGTTTTTCTCACAACATGGTAAACTAATAATGCAGGACCTGACCTCAGCATTTAAAATTCACTGAAAATTACATATATCTCCTGCAGCTTTCTATTTTAAGTTGCTCGTGAATATGGCTCCTAAAAAATAAGCTTTTCAACTAAGTCTGCCTTGTAAACCACTGCATATTCTCTGAATTTTAAGTCATCGTAGTCTTTGGATCACACAAAGAAGAGAAAAAGATTAGAAGTGCCATCTTAAAACTGAAATGCTCATACAGCTCAATTACAATGTACTTTGTATTCAAGCCATGTTCACAATCAGTACATGCTTTACTGCCAAATAAGGAGAGAAAGCAGGCTTCCTTTTATAGAGTGAAGTTTTCTTTTAGTTATGCCAAAGTCATTAAAAAGTGCATCGCTCTGATTTTTGTTTAGTGGCTTCAGAAAAGGGAACAGACGTGGAAATGGCTCCTTAACTCAGCTGGAGAAGCATTATTTCCTTAGAGAGCTAGATGTATGAAGTGAGATTGCATACAATGGCTGGAGTCAGTGCGTAGCACTTAGTGGGCAACACTTACATTTTCTCCTCTTTTCAGTGTCCTAGGCTATTAAAGCCAAAGAACAACAGAGTAGTTCTGTAAGCTGTACCAATTTGGAACACCCTGAAGATTTGTTATTTTTTTGGCAGGAACAGCACCTGGTTGATGCATTATAAAATATAAAGACAGTCAAATGTGACATCTTCAATGATGACAGGCAGGAAATTAAAAAAAAAAAAAAAAACTTGCCACAGCAGTCATTTGGGAGCAATGTAAGCATGCTGGAAAGGTTGGATGCTGTTAAATCTTAGCAGAATCTGGAGCTCAGAGTCAGAATACAAACAGCTAAGGCAAAGGCCATTAAAAGTGTGGTTTGAATCTGGGTTCTTTTCTTGTGTTCTTTGATCTCCTCAGTAATGCTGTTCTTCCCAGTTGTGTTGTCTTCTTTCTGGCTGCTGGTTTCCAGATACTTTTGGAGTTGCTGAGCTGAACTGTTCAGCTTTTAGTAAGGAGCATCATGAGTCCAGCCCGGTTCTCAGAGGTTAGAGACCTTAACTCCTGAAGGGCCAGACCATGTTCCCCAAATCTTCACCTCTTTCATTCTGGTTCTGCTATGCCTGTTTGTTTCACCACCCTTTTGTATGTGCCTGTTTTCCATTCTGGCACATGCTGTTCCTTGGCCTTCTGTGTACAGGGTTAATCGTGGTCTGGTGGTCAGTTAGGAAATGTGTCCCACAGTAAATGCTATTGTGTATTGCTGTGTTGATGAACCACCCTGTAAGTACTCAAACACTAGGAAAAAATTGATTTATTATCCTTACCAGTCAGAATATTTTAACCACTTAGCTCCCGTCAGAGCTTACCTTCCTGCTCATGCAAAGTATTTGGGGGTTCATTTGGCCTAAATTTTGCTCTCCTGTGCTTTTTTTTTTTGTTAATTTTTTTTTCCTAACACTTAAGTATTCTGAAGTGCACTGACTAGAAAGATCTATTTTTGCTTGTAAGTAGTTCAACCCAACAGTTGCGTGTGAACTGTAGGGACTGAAATAGCAACATGCATCTTCTATGCAAAAAGACCGCACATAAAAATTTTAGATGTTACAGCTAACTTTCATGTGTTCCCTCTTGCTTTATGGAAAGTGTTAGGAGTGCCATAAAGCCTTTACTGCTTCAGCTTGATGATTTGCCTCCTTGTAGGACATTTTTTTCCTGCTCTGTTTTTGGAAACAATGCTAAGCGGCCAATGCAAAGGAAAACAAAAATAGGTTAAAGATGGTAGGAAGATGCAGTAAAAAGCAGCCATATGTCTTGACATGTGGGGAAAATGGATTGTTCTACTTGAATTTATTAGTCTTGGTAGAGTATAGCAAGTAAGACCATCCACCAGTTCAGGAAGGTGCTGGTAAGTGAGAAGGTTTAAAGTAGCAATAACTTACGTAGTGGGGTGGGAAGGATGTGAAAATTGAGGTACCAGTAAAGTAATCAGAAATCTGATTGCTATCTGAGAGCGTTCAGCTTCACAGTTCATTTTCAGTCATGTAAGTAATAACATTTTTGTCCTTTCCTCCAAGATCCTGAAACGTTTTATAAAATAATTATAGCAGGGAGCATCCTTTTAAGTTTGCCAGATATTGATGGCCCTGTTTTACCCACTGGTAAAC